GAGAAGAGTGCCCAATATTTACTATTGTGGATTGTAAGCCGCCTAGAGTGGTCGAATTTGGCCAGATAGGCGGGATAGAAATGAAATAAATAAATAAATAAATAAATAGTCTTGTATATGCAATGCTATTTTGGGCCACCCCATTTTCTTTCATTCATCCTTCACTGGATCAATTCCTACTGCTAATATTATGCCATCTCCTAATGCTTCACAGGCCAGCTTTTCTATCACTGCCTTCTCAGGCCTGAGGAAGTGGACTTGTCTATTACGAAAGCTTGCATTAAAATATAGCCATTAGTCTTTGAGGTGCCACAATGTTTTTGTCTTCTTTATTTTATGCTTTTACTTTATTGATTTTGTTTTCGCCCTGATAGGCTGTGAAGATCGGTAAGCGAAACGCTTACCGATCTTCGCAAAGCAAATTTTGCCCTATCTAAAAAACGTTGAGCGATCGCATCAGCGATCCCAAAAAAGGATCGGTATGCGATTTCGTCGTTGTACGGTGCGCTCGTTAAGCGAGGCACCACTGTATATGCAATGCTATTCTGGACCACCCCATTTTCTTTCATTCATCCTTCACTGGATCAGTTCCTACCGCTAATATTATGCCATCTTCTAATGCTTCACAGGCCAGCTTTTCTATCACTGCCTTCTCAGGCCGGAGGAAGTGGACTTGCCTACTACGAAAGCTTGCATTAAAATATAGCCATTAGTCTTTGAGGTGCCACAATGTTTTTGTCTTCTTTATTTTATGCTTTTACTTTATTGATTTTGTTTTCGCCCTGATAGGCTTCCTCGTGATTCATCAAATTCCAAAGTGTTTCTAAAGCATTTTGTCTGCCACACGATGGAGGGACTGCAGCATGTTTTTAAAGCTGCCGTACAGCTGAAGAAATCCAGAATACTTTTACTTTACATGTATTCACAATCATTTAGAATTATTTAACCTGCTTTATCCTTTATTGCCCTCCCAAAAAGATACTGAAATTATAGTTTCCAAGGTGTGATATCAGCAAAGTCGGTCACTTTGATTCCAGCGGGCGAATCTTTTATTTATCTTTATTTCTTACCAGGCCCGAAATCTCCCATTCGGAAAAGGAGGGGATGTGAATGGGCTTAGCTTGGGGGGGGTTGATCCTGACCTCCGAGCAAGAGGGAGTGAAGGAAAGTGTGGGTGGGAGAGACAGAAAGGTGGAAGGAGAGACAGTGAGTCAAAAACACAACAAAACACCCAGGATGGATGTTTAGAAGGACCCTGGCTTCATCTGCAGTCAAAACTTCCTAGCTCCGATTTTGACACCATCGGTTTTATTGAACCTTCTTCTATTGTGTCTATTACTGTCTCTGGGAGAGTCAACAATGCTGAGAAAGACGGAAAGCAGCAGGAGAAGAGGAAGATCAAACACGAGATGGACAGACCCCCTAAAGGAAGCCACAGGCTTGAGTTTGCAAGAGCTGAGCAGCAAAGTTGGGAACAAGACAGGCTGTTGATGGCTCACTCACAGTACAAATGCAGGTTAAGGAAGAAGGAAAGAACAGAGAGAGAGAGAAAGAGGGCGTGAATGGCCGCTTAGCTCCCCTGCATCAAACTAAGCTGGAAACAAGCACACACGTGGCTTAGAAAAGGGACTGGAAAAGTAAGGGAGTGAAAAAAGAAGCATCGACAGATTGTGGCAGCTTTCACGAATTAGTGCCTGTAGGATCAGCGGCGTGGCTAATTGAAATCTGAGTGCCAGCATCAGTCATTAGGAAAAGCAGATGGAAACTAAATAAGGAGCGTCTTCTCTTAGTTAATTGTCCCATACGTTGGATTACACTGCAGGTTTAACACCAGCCCTAGTGTAAACGAAACTCACGCTCCTAATTAGAGAGGCTCAAATCACTTCCAGGAACGGATGGGAGCTGGCTAAGAAGATCGACAGGCTTGCATTCTGCCCACCTGGATTCAACCAGCTCCATGGCTGGAGAAGAAGGCTATCTGCTTAATTCCCGAGGCACACGCCATGCCTGGATTTAGGCTAAAAATCGAGGGAAACTTCTTAATGGTTAGAGCAGTATGATGATGGAACCCATGACCTCGGGAGGAGGCGAGGACTCTAGTGATGGAGGCAATTCAAGGGAAAATTGGGGAACCGTCCGTCAGATCTGCTTGGGTTCGGATTCCTGCCCTGAGCAGGAGATTTGATGGACTGGATGGCCTTAGAGGGTCCTTCCGACTCCATTATTCTATGATTTTGCCCCATGGCCTAGTGGGGCCCAGCCTTGAGTCCCCAGATGTTCTTGGACTAAAACTCTCAGAAGTCTTCACCACTCGATGTGCCAGCCGGGATTTCTGGGGGCTGTAACCCAAGAACATTTCGGCATCCAAGATCGAGAGCCCCTGTTCTAGATTACAAAGATCAGGATCGGAAATCCCATGCTTAACTGACCCTTATCAGGGGGCATTTATGTTTATACAGTCATGCCCCGCTGGATGATTACCCCGCTCTACGACGAATCCGCATTACATCGATGTTTTTGCGATCGTTTTTAAATGGGGGAATTCCACTTCACGTTGATCGGTTCCCTGTTTTGGGAACCGATTTATCGCTTTACGACGATCAGCAAACAGCTGGTTGTCGGGTTTCAAAATGGCCACCAGCTTTCAAAATGGCCCCCCGCTGTTTTCTAGGACAGATTCGTCGCTTTACAGGCACCAAAAATGGCCGCCGTATGGAGGATCTTCGCTGGACGAGCAGGTATTCAGCCCATTGGAATGCATTAACCGGGTTTTAATGCATTTAAATGGGTTTTTTTATTTCTTCGACGATGTTTTCGCTCTACAGCGATTTCGCTGGAACGAATTAACATCGTCAAGTGAGGCACCACTGTATATGAATGACTGCAGAGTCGAAATGAGTGTAAACCCCATGTGATGCTCAGAAACACCCTTCTTTGCCCCCAAATGAAGCCTGAAGGCGCAGACAAGAGTTTTCCGTAGAAAGAGGAAACACAGCAGACCCGTTATTTCCAACCCAGATTTTCTTGAACTACAACTTCCAGAATCCTTCCACCGCAGTCCGTAGGGGCTGGGGCTTCTGGGAGTTTCAGTCCTAGAACAGTTAATGATTCACCGTTGGGACCCCCAGCACTGACCCTTTTGCTCTGACAAGAGGCTGAACCTTGTTTATATTATTTTTATTTACTTACTTAAAATATGTTTACCCCACTTTTCTCCTCAAGAAGGACACAAAGCATCTTATACCGTGAAGACAATATTTAAAGCTAAAAACAGTAAGTATACACATACTTAAAAAAGGATCAAATAAATACTATAGCATTTAAAAGAAAATAAAGAGAAGCAACCCTAAAACACATTCAAAGCCGTACAACACACTTCACTGAAATTCTCCACTCAGACAACCAGTCGTTAAGCTTGCCCAACGCTTTCCCTCCCCCGCCTTCCCCATTCAATCACCAAAGCAGCGCAAAAGGATAAATTCCCAGTCAGTGATGTTGCCATGTGCCCGGTTCTGACTGATTATATGATGCTTTGATTGCCACCACTGTTTTTAACGGGCTCCTTGATTGGTTTGCCTCACAGAGCAGGCAAAGACAACGACGGGCGTCTTTAGAAGAAGTGGTGTTGGATTTACCGTGTTCCCGTCAGCCCTCGCCAAATTCCTTCTAAAAGACACCAAACTTCCACCCTCTTATGACCAGCTACCTACATGATCCCAACGCATCAGCGGGCAAATACAGGGAGAAATAAAAATCAGATCACAGGGTAGCCTATGAGATCTGGGGTGGTTTCTAAGGGAAGATCTTCTCCACCCCACCAACCAACCAGCATTCCTTGGTGACCCCTGGAAAGAGCAAAACCACCAAAAGCTTTGTCATGCGTCTTAATCACTCCAGAGCGGTGATACCCAGCCTTGGGTCTCCAGATGTTCTTGGGCTACAAGAAACCCCGTCTAGCACACCGAGAGAGGAGCGGTAATCCGAGAACATCTGGAGGAAGGCCTGCTGCAGAACGGTAAGGCTTTAATTGATGAAAAAAAAAGCCCACAACATGGTTCGGCATCTACCTACAAAAGCCACGCAGAACTCACAGCCTCCTGAGGGATGCCGGATTCGAGGACTGTCTCCAGGGTGATGTTGATGGATACTCCGTAGTAGGGGTGATCCGTAGGCAAATCCTGGAGGTTCAGAAGAACGGTGGTGTTGCCTCTGATGATCTCCAGCATATCCGCCAGTTTGCAGATGGACTGGTTGGCGGCTTCCACGAAATCAGAGCTGGAGAGGGACTCTGCCGTCCAAAAGGGGTCATTCTGCAAAAAGATCGCCAGGGAAGGGACAGATAACAGAGTCGAGATCAGAATTCTAAGTCAAAAACATGGTTTTTCGAGTAACCTGCCTCTAGGAGGGAGGTTTTCTAATGCATTGAGCAGTCAAGAGGCCACCTCAGTCCCGATACGACAGGTGTGGGGCAGCTTGATCTGCATTCTTTTACCAATGCAAAGGGAAATTCACTTCAGCCCAGAGCTTCTTGACCCCCAAATCCATAGGTGTTTTTTTTCTCCTCTGCTGTTTGAGCTTCTCCTTTTTTTAAGATACAGATCCTTTCGGATCTGTTGAGGCGTGTGATTGCTTGAACCAATGCGGAAAGGGAGGATGAGCAGAGAGAGTTTGCACACAAACCATAGAAGCCAACACGCACACGCACACACAGCACCAGCAATCTTTCTCTTGGCAAAACCTCCCTTCCCTTTCCAATCTGAAGGACTGGCAACTTGATTTTTCAAATGAAAACACACGGCCCTGTCTGGCTGCTGTCATTATCTAGCAAAGGTGGGTTTCCCCATTTGCCAAAAGCACAGAATCTAAGCCACTTCAGAAGTGCTTGTCTGAGAAGATGGGAGCTGAATCACCGGCCTGGTTCCACCATCTGTTCTCTGCTTTAATGCATGAATATTTCAGGTTCTCCCCACAATCTGGGGTTGCGCCTCCTTGTCACTCCATGCGGCTGACTCTATTCTGCCGGGCCTTGATGTGCTTTGCAGGAGGAGGGAAGGGGTGAAGACCTGTCCCTTATCTGACACAGCAGGTGGACTCGGAGAGAAGCATTAATCCCCTCTCTGACTCAGTTTCCTGCATAGCATCTCCGGTCTCCAGCTGCCAACACCGTTGTGTTATGAGCAAAGGGGACGGACTATGAACAAAAGGGATGATAGTTCTCTTATCTGGGTGTGTTCACCCATCTATCTCCAGCTTCCACCTTCCAGAGGGTGGGCAAAACCTCCATCATCTCTTTCCAATGCCACCCCTTGGCTATGGAACATAGCAAAGAATTATGTGGCACCTTTAGGACTAACCGAGGTATTCTAACAGGAGCACCTGTGAACGCACCACTCATTTCTTCAGATGAATGGAGCGATGATTTGGCAGTCCAAATATACAGTGGTGCCTCGCTTGACGATGTTAATTCATTCCAGCAAAGTCGCTGTAGAGCGAAAACATCGTAAAGTGAAATTTAAAAAGCCCACTGAAATGCATTGACACCCGTTCAATGTGTTCCAATGGACTGAAAATGCACCATCGAGCGAAGATCCTCCATGGGGCGACCATTTTCGGGTGCCTGTATAGTGAAAAATTGCTCCTAAAAACAGCGGGGAGCCATTTTGTACACCTGGCAGCCATTTTGAAATCCGACGATCAGCTGTTTTTAGATTGTCGTAATGCGGAAATCGGTTCCCGAGGCAGAGAACCAATCATCGTGAAGCGGATTTTTCCCATTTAAATTATTGTTATGTGATCGCTTTTGCGATCACAAAAACCTAATCGTCAAGCGATTTCCTCGTTAAGCGAGGCAATTGTTAAGTGAGGCACCACTGTATATATGAAACTTAGGGTTGAAATGGGATATAGGCAGTAGATTGAGAGAAAAGCTAAATGCAGAATTTTTAACAGTGACGGCTGGTGCTGTGATGTACTGCTAAGTTTTTCTGACTGATGGTGACCTATGAATTTATGATTCCTAAGAGGTCTTGTCATTCACAGCTCTGCTCAGGTCTTGCAGATTTCAAGGCTGTGGCTTCCTTTAATGTGTCACCCCATCTCATGTTATTTTCCTCTTTTCCTACAGCTTTCCATTTTGCCTACCAATACTGTCTTTCCCCATAGAATTACTTGGCTCAGTAATGCTATCAAAGAATTGTAGAATAATTGAGTTGGAAGGGGCCTGTAAGGCCATCAAGTCCAACCCCCTGCTCAAGGCAAGAATCAAAGTCCAAGCAGGTCTGACAGAGGGTTGACTATCATCTCTTGAAGGCCTCCAGCGTTGGAGCCTTTGCCACCTCCCGAGGTCATGGATTCCATTGTCGTACTGGCGGCCAGTAAAGTAGACGACCCTTCCACTCCATCAACAACCCGATGTTCACGTGTAATACCTTGAGGAACCATTCGCCAGCGTTCAGTCTCTCCAAGTCTGTCCAGTTGAACATGGAAGAATGCTCGTAGGCCAGCTCCGGAAACTTTTCCTCCACGTTGGTCGTTCTCCGCAGGTTCTTGTCATGCATCAGAAAAGGCACACCGTCGTAACTGTGGGTGTGAGGGAGAAGCCTTTAACATGGGAGACAACACCCGATAAAGAGAGGACACCCTTCCCACTCCTGGCACACTGGGCTGACTCAGGGGCAGGAAGAAATACATGTTTTGCATCTGTATGCAAAGTTTTAGTCTGTACAAAAATTCATGTGCATTTTCACACGAATCTATGTGCATTTTGTGAACATCTGTAAGGGAAAAGGAGCAAGACGCTGGTTGTGTCCATCTTTCCATACAACTCAGGTGAATCTGCATTTCCTCTCCAAGGCTCAGGCAGAGAAAAATCTGCCCCAGTCCTGCTCAATACCATGCTTGGGAATGGACCAAGAGCATCAGCATGCAAAGACAGCGTTTTCAGGGCCCTGAACTAAAAATGGGCCGCAGAAATGGAGCAGAGGAAACCAAATCACCAACAAAGCAAGCATTGGCCTGCAGGGAATTTCCCTTGAACTTCACTAAACAGGATTTTCAGATTAAAGGCAGCTGTAAATGGTACTCAAAATATTGTGGAACTAAGTTTGGGGGGGGAAATACAAGCTGCACTGAAGATATTTTAGACAGACAGACAAACAAGCAGGCTGGCAGACAGAGCAGCAGACAACACCAGTTTAAAAGGATAGCTGGGAATACTGGCTGTAAATCATTGAGAAAAATTAAACATCTGTGACGTGGAACATGGATGCAGAAGCAAATCATGGTTGAATCCTGTTGCGCAGCTCCGCATGTGCAATGGGGATGATGTCATCATCAGTGGCAAACTGCTGCTGATCAAAGGCAATTTTGGTATGGACACAACTCATAGTGTGGCAAAGCTCAACACATCCCAAAATCAAAGCTTTTAATAAGCAGCCAATGTCGTGATCTCTGTTGAGCATGTGGAGCTACGCAACAGGATTTCAGCCCATACGACAGATGCTGAGCTTTTCAATTTGTACATAATAAGGAGAAAGAAGAGTGAATAACAACACACCCATGTCGTTTTGGAGCCCTGTGTCTTTCTAGGTAACAGAACATTCAACGCAGCGGTCTTGGGATCTATGACAATTTCAAGATTTATATGATGGAGTGAAAGCTCTCAAGTCTGCAACCATTTGAGCTTCAGTTAGTACAGTCTGTAGTTATCAGACAAGGGCTGGCTTAAGACAGAACCCACCAACTCACTGCACTAGTGCGAGCGGAAGAGAAGCAAAGGAGCTTGTTTAAACAGTTTGCTTTGAATCAGCAGAATCACCCTTGACTCCCAAGACCAAAATGCTCATTTTTTTCAGCCTAGCGAAGAGCCCTGCATAGCTCAGAAGCTTGCACACTCTTCGTCCACCAGTAAAAAGACATCAAGCCGACCAATTACCATATTTTTCCATGTATAAGACACCCCCACTTTTCTAATCCAAAATTAAGAAATCCAAGTGGGGCTCAGCAAGTGCAGGGGGAAAGGGATCAAAGCGCTGCAGGATCGCTTTGATCCCTGCTTTCCCCTCCACTTGTTTTTGTTCTCTCCTCAGCTTATTTTGTTCTCTCCTCAACCCACAATTTTTAGTCTAAAGATTTTAGACAAAAGTATAATCTTATACATGGAAAAATATGGTATCCAATCTGCTTCTCAGAAGCACCATCTTGAGAAATGGGGCAAATGGACCAGCTTAGAGCCCAGACTGTGGCCAGGGGCTTGAAACTTTGAAAAGAAAACCTGGCAAACAGTCAAGAAGTACGCAGAGAGCCAGAGACAGAAGCTTGCCTTATCACAACATCTGCCTGGACACCGTAGACTCCCTGCTCCACTGCCTTCTGGAAGGACATCAGAGTGTTTTCTGGTGCCAGCTGGAGAAGAAACATAGAAAACAAACACAGTTATTTATTCAGACAAGCCAGCTGCCAAACTGGGACGTCAAACAGGCGACAGAGCTGTCATTCAAACCCCAGAGATGTTTAGAAATGGCCTCAAACAGAGGAACGGAAGCATTCTGACTTAGCAGAAGCACAGATCCAGCCCCACAGACATTTACACCTGAGAGAAACAGAGGAATCGGTGCTGTTTTTGCAAGTCCCTGTAAGGGCAGGACGGTTGAGTAAATAATGGTCATGGTAAAAACATCAGTTCATCAGTACATACTCTTTGTTAGCCAACAAAAGGAATTTAAAGAAGTCATGAGAAATTCTAAGATGAACGGACAAATAAGGGAGGTAGCCGATTGTACTGACCAAAAGATTGAGCGAGTCGGCCAAGGTAAGAAGGAAGGAACTGAAGGGGTCAGTTACAATGACCACAGGGAGGTTAGGAAAAGGGAACACATACCAAATAAGGATAGAAATAAATAAGAGTCTGGGGTCTAGGTAAAGAGAGGAGTGGGAGATGTAAACAAAGGCGGGACTTCCTGTGATTGGTTTAGGTGCACTGGATAGGCTGTACACCTTGGAGTACCTAACCAATGGGGAAACAAGGGACAGGGACCCTGAGGTCGGGAATAGGGGATAAATATCATGCTACCTGGATTGATGGGTGTGCCTACCCAGATAGGACACCCGCTTTTGCAAAATAGCCCATGGAGAAGGATAAGGGGGTTGTGGAATTGCTAGATAGCTCAATGGCTGAGGTCTCCGGCTGCGGTTGGGAGTTCGAATTCCTCACTGGGCCTCCTTGAGAGGGGCTGGACTCCATGAGCCAGAGGGTCTCATTCCAGCTCTGCCGTTTGAAGATTCTTCAAACGTCAGAGTTCTCCATTTTGGCTCGACATAAGCTGTTTTTTTTTTTTATTTGCTTCCAGGGAACCCCAGGGGTTTCTTGCAAACCCTAAGAAACAACAGACCTGCCTTTCTGTTCTCCCACCAGAACATGTGGGGGGGCAAACTGGGGTTATATGGAAAAGTTTAGCAGGATGCAAAACTTTGCAAACAAAGCAAACCTCACCCCTTACAAAAAACAAAAACAAAAACCCACACCTGCAAAATGGCAGCCACGTCATGCTGTAGCAACACAGAGTCTTGTGACTCCTTTAAGGCTAGCGCAGTTTTACTTCCAGGGCTGAATCCTGCTTCTTCCAATGCGTGGACCAAAGTCCCAGTACACAGACATTTCAAAGAAAGGAAAGGAACGAAGCAGCCGACAGGAAGCAAACCCCAAAGCAGGAACAGCCAAACGTGGGCGTTAAGATATTTTTGGACGACATCACGTGTGGTCTAGTCCTAAGTTAAATCTTAATGATGGCCCCCAACCAGAGGACCCCCAATGAATCAGCTGCTGAAAGGTGAAACAACAATTATGTAAATCTCATCAATTCAATGGATCTACTCTAGTTGGACATTCAAGGAAATTTAGGCCCTTATAATTACAAAATATTCTCTGTCTACCTATACATATACACATTGTTCTTGTTTAGTTGTTAAGTCGTTTCCGACTCTTCGTGACTCTTCTCTTCTCATGAGATGGCCAAAGTATTGGAGCCTCAGCTTCATAATCTATCCTTCCAGTGATTTCCTTAAGAATAGATTGGTTTCATCTTCTTGCAGTCCAGGGGACTCTCAAGAGTCTCCTCCAGCACCACATATACTGTACACATACATACATACAAATATATATCTGTGTAACGTCCTCAAACAAAACATTTGTACAGACTAAGCGATACACAGCCTAGGACAGCTTTGGACCATCCATTTTGGCCTTCTAGATTGGGACATGTAGGTTCAGCACATCTGGAGGTTACCCAGTTTGGAAAAGCTCGCCTGAGCTGGTTGTTGTATGTTTTCCGGGCTGTTGGGCCACGTTCCGAAGATTTTTCTTCCAAACGTTTCGCCAGTCTCTGTGGCCGGCATCTTCAGAGGCCAGGAGCTAGAACTCTGTTCTCAAAAAGCAGCCCAAAAAAACCTACAACCACCATCAGATCCTGTCTGTGAAAGCCTTCGAGAATTCTCCAAACCCCCAAAAGCGAGCCTGCCAGCTTTTCCTCCAGCAGAGGGGAGAGTGTGTTTCTCAAAAACAATCCGGGTCATTCTCCTCCACCTCAAAAGATTGGTTGCAACAGAGAAGAGTGGGATTAAATGGCTAAAATAGTTCTGCCAAGTTTTGAAAAGCACCAACCCACGAATCAGGAAAGGTTGCAAAGAGATGCCCTTACGTGCCTTTCTCTAGCTGTGCAGCTGCCAGGCAAGTAGCAAATACCCATTATTCACAGGTGAAAAGGAAGCGGCTTCTACACAAGACGGAACAAAGCAGGAGAGGATTAGAAGGCTTTTGAAACCTGGAGAGTGTGTCCTCTGGACTAAATGAGTTCTTAAAAGCCTCATTTCCGGAAGGAAAGGATTTGCATTGTTTAAAAGGAAGACCGGAGACAATCCATTCCTATTACAGATCGGAGTGGGCAGGGAGGGGGTCTTCTCTGAGCCTTGAGGCTTGCTGAGGAGCACCACTGGATCCCTGCAAAACTCTTCTGACAGAACCACTGACTTCGCCTCAGGGAATCGCATCCAGGAGTGAGATACTGCAGAAAGGCTTGACTGGGTTGAAATAGCCAGAACATCTTGGGGAGAGGGGAGACTCAGTGCTATCCTTGGCTTCCCCAATCCAGGACCCATTGAAAGGAGGAAGTCCAACACACCGAGCCCAAAGCAAAAGATAATATCCATTGATGGCTTTGCTGCAGAAGACCCATGCTTTTGCAAACCCATCCGTGGGGAGACAGATTGTGTCCCGTCACGTATCAGGAGGCGGCCATTTCCAGCAGATAGTCAGTGAAGATGGTCCCACAACATCTAGAGGAGTGGTTCACCTGGATTTTCATGGACTACAGTTCCCAGAAGCCTTTTCACCACCAGCTGTGCTGGTCAGGATTTCTGGGAGTTGTCCAAGAACACCTGGGTGACCCAAGATTGGGAACCCCTGCTCTAGAGAGATGCACTGAGTTCAGCCTTTCTTGGATGCATTGTTCTGGTTTTCCAGCAATTGGCCACAGGAGCTTCCGCAACCAAGCGTCCAGGCCAGAGGAAACACGGCTGTCCATAAACATCTTCCAATCCTTGTCGAAAGCTTGGGGAGGAGAAAAAAATTCCTCTTTTGAAAGTTACAGTCCAAAAAAATAATGTCTCCGGTCGTCTGCTTCTTCCTTCACGGCAGTTTAAGATGGATCCTGAGAAGGTCAAGCCCAGCCAGAGGAGGGTGACCAGGACAGTAAAAAGTCTGAAAACCAAGCCTAAGGAAGAGAAGGTGAAGAGGATGATTGTCGCCAAAGATTTGAGGGGCTTCAGTGCAGAAGACTCCCCGGAAAAGACCCTGATGTTGGGAAAGTGTGGAGGCAAGAGGAGAAGGGGGCGACAGAGGACGAGATGGTTGGACAGGGTCACCGAAGCGACCAACATGAATTTGGTACCAAACTCCAGGAGGCAGTGGAGGATAGGAGGGCCTGGCGTGCTCTGGTCCGTGGGGTCACAAAGAGTCGGACACAACGTAACAGCTAAACAACAACAAAAACAGTGCGGAAGATAGAACAATCCTGTTCTGTCCAGCTCCAGAAAGAACAACTCAAGATAATGGCACCCAATGGCAAAGAAAAGTGATTTTGAGACTGTCTGGAAGAACTGCCGGATAGTAAGAGCCGTTCAACGGTAAAACGGACGGCCTCAAGACATGGCGGATTCTCCTGTGCTGGAGGCTTTTAAGCCGACGTGGGATGGCCATCTGTTAGGGTTGCTTTACTGGTGGATTTCCTGTCTCTCCAGAGAGCTGAGCTTGATGGCCCCTTGGCTTTTCCTGAACGCCCTACAATCGGCTTTCTATCCTCAGGTGGGGTGGAAGACCCTAACCAGTCATCAATAGAGATAGGAATGAAAGGGTGTGGGGGGGAAATCTGTGATTCGTGACGGTTCGTGGTTTGTAGCTCTCCACGAATCATAAACCACCCCAAATCCCTGGAAAAACGAACTGGTTCGCAGTTCATTTTTCTGGTTCCTGCCAGGGGAGGGCTCTCTCCCACCCCCTTCTCACTGTCCCCCTGCCACCTGGTCCTGCCGCCGCCACCACCACCCTCTGGGGCCGGCTGATGAAAGGGAAGCCAAGCCACTGACTCAGAAGATGGTGGCCGTGGTGGTGGAGGAGGTGGCAGAGACAGGACGGGGCAGGGAGGCAACCCGGGGGAGGGTAGTGGGAAAGGGAAAGTGGACATCCATTTTGCCAAAGCAAGATGAAGCGCTGAGGGGGAAACAGTTCAGCGTGTCCTTCTGTTTCGGCAAAACTGGTTGCACAAACCGAACCGCGAAGCAGCCCCGTTTTCGGGGCTTTCTGGTTCGTGTTCATCTCCAATCGTCAGCGCAGTTCGTCTGCCCGTCTGGTCAACGTCTAGGCGTGGATTGGGGGCTGGGATGCTGTCTTCTCCTTTGCCTCAGAAAGCAAAACATCTAGGGACCACCCTGGACCTCGCTGTTTGACTTCTGCAAAAGATCTCCGAGATTCGCAAAACTGTTCTGTTCGCATGAGCTTCAAATGTACGGATTTATTCTGCGTATTCCCTCTTTCTCTTCAAGGTGTGTGCGTGTGAGAGAGAGAACAACAATAAGCCCACACACCCACACACCAGGGCCTGAAATATCTTTAGCTTTTTTAATGAGACACTTGACTCGTTCCTGGCATCGCAACCAGCTGCCAGCACCCATTCTGTTCATACAGCATATGTTTGCTTAAGCCAAAGATCAACAAGTATTAGTGCAGGAATTAGCAGCTTTTAACAGAATGCCTCTGGCAGAAAGCATTAAGATAAGGATGGGGCAGGGAGCAGCAAACACACTTGGCGAGGAGAGAGGAATCTGAAGGATTCTGCACATGGCAGAAGGAAGAGGAAGAGAAGCAAGAAGGCAGTGGGGAGAAAAAGGGTCTCCTCTGATAACAACGTTCTGGTTGCCTGGGCGTTCATGGCTGAGTATGTCTGCCTTCCCTTCCTGAAGCACTTGACTAACGCTGGCAGGAGTGGTTCAAGTCAGAAGACCAAGAAGGAGGGGGGAAATTAAGACATCATCTTTTCTACAAGCACAATGTCTCCTGGATGGTCTATACACCGCTTGGACAAACAGGAATGAAATGTATATTTTTAGAAAATGCGGCGTTGTGTATTGATTCATGCTCTTAGTGCAAATTGTTCACTTTTGTTAACGCTGACTTATAATAACTTTCCACAGTTCCAAATCAAAACTCTTTCCCACCCCTAGCCGGAGATGTCGGGGATTGAACCTGCAAAAGACAGGATCTACAGTGGACCTAAAGCCTTCCAAGAGACATGGTCAGATGATATCCCTAGCCAGCAGATTCCAAAGGGCACACTTTGATGACATCACCAACCAGTTGCCCAATCAGCTTCTCCTGCCCGCTCTCCGCCTTTCCGATTTGCCCAATATGTTAGATGCTGCAGAACGTCTACCAAAATAGCAACTGGGCAGTGATAGGAAACAGGTGATATTGAAACAATGGTACCTCAAAACAGGAAACATTCACCCATTCTCCCAGAATACTGGGTCATCCAGGTGTTTTTGGACTGCAACTCCCAGAAGCCTTCACCACTTGCTGTGCTAGCCAGGATTTCTGGGAGTTGCAGTCCAACATCTGGGGACCCAAGGTTAACCACTGCTAGAAGCAGCACATACTAACAACTGGGGCATGCTTTGCTGCTTGCTTCAAGAAGAATTATTTGACTCTATAGGTAAAGCTAAAGGTTCCCTTTACAATTTTTGTCCAGTTGTGTCCGACTCTAGGGGGCAGTGCTCATCTCCGTTTCCAACCCATAGAGCCAGCTTTTGTCTGCAGACAATCCTCTGTGGTCACGTGGCCAGCGTGAATAAACACGGAATGCCGTTTACCTTCCCAACGAGATGGTACCTATTTATCTACTCGTATTTCTGCATTTTGCATGCTTTCGAACGGTTAGGTTGGCAATTGCTGGGACAAGCAACAGGGGCTCACTCTGTCACGTGGATTCGATCTTACGACTGCAGGTCTTCTGACCTTGCAGCAGAGAGGCTTCTGCGGTTTAACCCGCAGTGCCACCACGTCCCTCTGGTATGACTCCACAGATTAATCAAATAAAGCTTCAGGTGATTAATTCAGTGAGAACATATTTTACTCCTGAAGGCAGAGACTTAAGAAAACCCTTTTGATATGGGAGGGAGGGGCGGCAGCTTTCCTTTCTCTGATATAGTAGTGGTTATAAGGTATGGGATATAAATATTAAAACATGCTTGTACGATGATTAGCAACAGCTTTAATCTGTTAAGCAGTTAAGGCTGCCTTCGCTTTCGCACTTCAAATATACAAAACTTTGACTGAAGCGTTGGTGATGCAGAGAAATTATTTCAACATATCATTAGCTGGCTGAAAAACAGACCCATGGATGTACACCTCACCTTCACCTAGAAATGTTAATGGTTTTGTATGGGGGTAGCGAGGGATTCTGGGAGTTGTAGTCCAAAATAAGCACCCTCGCCAAGATCTGGCTTATAGCCTCGCCCTTCCTTCAAATTTTGCAACCATCCTGAGTTCATCGGGCTCCGTCCTGTGTTGGCTTTTAGGCCAGAGGCTGACGGAAATCAAGGGTCAGTGGAAGCGTGGAAATGGGGGAAGGCAGCACTCAGAGGCACACCTACCCTAGGTGCTCCGCGGTGACCGATAATGGCAGGTTTGGGCCCCAAATCCTTCTTGTCCATGATGCAGGGGGAATAGACGGTGAGCGGGATGAGGTAAAGCACAAAGACGACGGCCAGGTAGGCCCCAAACGTCAGTATCTGAGAAGCTGAAGGCAGAGAAGAGAGAGGGAGAGAGATGATGATGATGATGATGACATGGAAGATTCACAAGCACCCCCCCAAAAAAAACATCAGAAAAGCCTGTACAGGTTGGAAGAGCTGCAGAATGTGCCAAGGATGTGCAGTTCAAACCAAATTATTCTCAACCACGCGCTCCTTTCTTGCATGAACATTGCCACCTACTTCACCTCGTTCCACACTTAAGCTTGTACAGGTTGGAAGAGCTGCAGAACATGGACAAAAATGTGCCAAGGATGTGCAGTTCCCTAGTTCAAACCAAATTATTCTCAACTACGCACTCCTTTCTCGCACGAACGTTGCCACCTACTTCACCTCGTTCCACACTTAATAATAACGACGGTGGGCTCTCGAGTCGATTCCAACTGATGGCAACCTTTGTCCGGTGTTTTCTGGGTACAGAGCACTCAGAAGTGGATCACCGTCTCCCTTCTTCTGGGACAACCGCGCAGCTGGACCAAGGTGACAACAGGCTGTCTCTTCTCCCAGGAGATGCACCGGGGGGGGGAGAATCGAACTCCTAACTCCCTGAGCTATCCAGGCAGCAATTCCCCACTTGCCCTTCTCCAAATTCTGTAAGATCCCCATCCTTAAACACTCCCAGCTCTGTTTACCATTTTTCTGGTCCCCTCCTTTCCCTTTCCTAACCTCCAGACATTTTAGACTACAGTATACAAAAAAAGTGTGTGTGGTTTTTCTCCCAGGAGGTGCACAGTGGGAATCGAACTCCCAACCTCTTGCCTCCACAGCCAGAGAGCTAATCCCCTGAGCTATCCAGTCGGCTTTACCAGAATAGAGCATCTCTTGGCCTGTGTCCAGCCAGTCTCTGGTTTTTGTATTTATCCTTCTAAAAGACTGAAAAATATCTTGTCACTCTCGGCGAGCGGCGACAAGAGCTTTTAGGCAAAACGGGCAGACGTTTTCTGCCCTGCCCTTAATGTAAGTTTCTAGACTTTCTGAGCGAAAACAAACAAACCAAAAAGATGGGGGCAAAACCTGAGGGCTGCTTCATAAATGAGTCTTCTTCATCCCTTTTCATGTAATTTCCCTCCCACCGGTACACAAAATATCCCTGGTTCCCCCCCCCCAAGTGCATTAAATGTAGCATTTTACCAAGGAGAACAAGAACCATGATTAGCTTTTACTGCGCTTTCTCAAGCAATTTCAAGTCCCTAGTAAGCCCCATTGTTCAGTTCAGGTCTCCTTATCTCTCTTTCTTGAAGAGGAATGAAGGCGAATTCTTGAAGGGGATTCCCTCAGAAGGAATACAGTGGTGCTTCGCTAGACGATGTTTAGCGAAAGCATTGTCTAGCGAAAAGCATTTCCTCATTGGAATGCATTGAGACCTGTTTAAAGCGTTCCAATGGGGAGGAACAATCGTCGTTGTCTAGCAAAGATCAGTCATAGGAAAGCCGCTTTGCGAACCACCGATCAGCTGTTTCAATCGCTGTCTAGCGAAGCTAAGGTCCCGAAAACACCTGTTGTGCGAGCGCGGAGGAAGCTGTCAAAATCGTCGTCTAGCAAAAATCGGTTTGCGAAGCAGGGACCAAACATTGTCCAGCGAAATGCCCCCATAGGAATCACTGTTTTGCAAATCGCTATAGTGATCGCAAAAAGTCAATGTCTAGCGAAAAAACTGTAATGCGGGGTAACTGTCTAGCGAGGCACCACTGTACCCTGAAACTCACCAGCTTTTTCCGCTCTTGCAAACTGCCCAGACACCAACCAAGAGAGAGCCGTGACGGCCACCAGGGCTCCTATATGGAGGAAGGGGGCCGTTGCCTGGAGGGGGATTAAGAGAGAGGGACAGGGTGAAAACTCAGTGGCATTAACAGTTTGTATCAATATGATGATGGAGACTGTGGGAGTGGGAGATCACTAAGGGGTGAAATGTCAGTTCAGCACCATAGGGGTCTTGAGACATAAAAACAGGAGAAATTCCAGCCCCCACTCTGCAATGAAAATACAGTATGACCCCCCCAAATCCACAAGGAATTGGTTTCAAGCCTCCCCATGGATGCTAAAAACTGCATATAATAGTAAACCCTATAGGTAGCATGGTAAAAAATCAACAGAAAAAAGTATTTACACCATGTATTACCAGAACTGGCCACAAGAGTGAGCCAGAGAGAATTAAGTTCTGGCTCCCTCTAGTGGCCACTTCGGATAATGTCATCTTTAGAAATATATATATTTCTAGGATTTTTAAAAATATTTTCTGGCCGTGGAGAAGTGAATCAGTAGATATTAATCCCGTGGATACAAGGGCCCTACTGTATTTCCATGATGACTTTTGCATGCATGATTTTTCCCAACAGAATTCTAGCCCCAAAGCCTGATGGCATGTGAAAGGTTTAATAAGTTTTACTTGGTTTTAGCTGTTGCAGATCATACCCACTTCCTGATGGAGTTTTGACAGTCTAACATGCTGTCTCTAGAATGTGTGTCTGGGAGGAACCTGTCTGGCCTGTGGTGACCGTCAATCTATCCAACACTAACCAATCATTTATTCCGGCCTCTGTAGCCAAAGACAGCCCTGCCTCTCTGCTGAGTGTTTTCCTTTTCTCCCTCTTTCGTCTGTTGGAAATCAGTTTGTTTGCTGTCGATCTGTTCACAGCTACAAGTAATGAAACATTTTTATACTTTCTCCTAAAAAATGTCTCATTGAGACTTGAAGTGCCAGTTAATGAGAAAGGGGTGGACCATCAGAGGAACTTGAAGCTATTCTCTTCAGTGAGTCTCTGTCCTTCTCCTGTGTCGCACAAAGGATTTGACCAGAAATTCAAAGCTCTGCAAGACTTCTTCCAGATGTGATCCTCGTGGCAGGCTACCGTCTACAACAGCGGATGTCAAATAAAATCTTTCCATCTTTTAGCTGCCACACTTTAAACGCTTTAATTTTTAAAGATGTTTTCCTGTTGCAGAAAGTAAATCCGACTTTTTTCCTGCCTCCTATGCCACCATTCTTCTAACGGCAAATCAGGTGAGGATGTCGGGAGAGGATAACGTATTCGTGCATTCGGAAATCTGGGACGCTTGCCCAGCAACTCCAAAAGTGGGTTGTCCAGACGTGGCAGCCCCGCCAGACACGCCTTCCCCAACACCACCCTTTTGCGGGGGTTTGGCCGAAAAACAAACCAGAATTAACCACCGAACCGGTTCGTGCCCATTTCTGCTTGTTTGACGTTTCCTCTCGCCATGTCCTCTGTCCTGGCAGAGAAGCCGAGCCCAAAGTCATATAAAAACAGGAGTTCAAGCCAGTTCGTTCAAAATAGAAAGCCGTTCTTTCTGACCCACAAAAGATACTCAGGCACCGAGCCATCGCCATGACAACCGCATCTTGAGAGGATGAAGCATGCACTGTTTCTAGAAAATGTCATTCTAAAAAGTTGTTATGAACACTCAGCCCCAAATTTGACATTGGCACTAAAGTATGCAAGCACAAGTAAGGACGAGCTGCAGTTAAGGGGTAGAGCTCTTAATCTGCACCCAGGTTCAGTCCCCCCCCCAATCCTCTTTCTTTTAAAAAGGATCGTGGAGGAACCGATGGGGAAAAAACTGCTGATCTCAAGACCTGGGAGAGATGCTGCCAACCTGAATTGGTGGTATGGGGCTGAGATGGGCCAAGCCCGCCCTCTCAGGATGCAAGGCTGTGTCTTGCCTTCAAATACAGCAATAAGGCAGAGCTGGGAGCAACTACAAGCCCCAGAATGCCCCCTACCAGCATAGCTGGGGGATTATGGGATTTGTTACCCGAATCAGTAACATCTCCAAGTCGTGGGAGTTTTTCAGGTTGAGGGTTTAATCATGCCATTACAGCACAACAGGACTACAAGATCCATGAGGGATTCGTTCCAAGCCCCTTCTCCCGAACACCAAAAAACATATACCGTATTTTTCGCACCATAAGACGCACTTTTCCCCACAAAACAGGGGGGTGGAAAGTCTGTGCGTCTTATGGAGCGAAGAAAACAGATTATATTTTCCTGTTTTCTTCTCCTAAAAAATTGGTGCGTCTTATGGAAAGGTGTGTCTTATAGAGCGAAAAATACGGTACAAACGTATTTCCATGGTGTATTGCCTACACCCAGCCACTAGAGGGAGCCAGAGACAACAGCATTCGCCCCTTCTGTTTTTCTGTATCCATGTTTTTTATTGTTGTTATTTAATATTTTTGGCCAGCAGAAAAGTTAATTCGCCGATGCTGATCCAGCGGGTCGCGGGGTCCTACTGTAATCCCTTTCCTGTTGAATAAAACGCAAGACTCAGCCCTTTCAGGGGACTGACCTTCCAGAATGAATACTCGTTTATTGTTCCTGCCGATCTATAAAATTCTTCTACAGTCCCTACTCCCCTGCAAAAATGAGAAAACCAATTCATACCATTCCCCCCGCACCAAGGTAAGATACTTACGTGCAAGGATATCACCACCATGTCCCATTCATCATCCCACAACTGGGCTATAGAACACATGGTCACAATTGTTGATATCAAGCTAGTGACCAACCCAATCTGAAAAGCAAAAAAAGCAGCAATGGTTTCTTGAAACAAGCAAACATCAGAGTCCTGTGACGTTCTAAGCCTGGCTGCTTGCAAGATTCTAGTGCTCTAAAGCAGGTATCTTGCTGGAAAAGACAGTAATGTTAGGAAAAGTAGAAGCCAGCAGGAAAAGAGGGTGAACAAATGTGAGATGAACTGACTCCATAAGGAAGCCACAGCCGTAAAGTTGCAAGAGCTGAGCAGGGCAGTCAGGGACAGGATATTCTGGAGGTCACTCATATGTAGGGTCAGCATAAGGCGGATGCAACTTGATGGCATATAATGGCAACACCATCGATACCTCCCCACCCTTTGGCTTTCAGTGCTCATCATACTCATGTTTCTGGGCCACCCTTCCCATTCTTTTATCTTATCTACTGCCTGCATCTGGATTTTTTCCTCTAAAACCACTGTTACTCTCGTTTGGAGAACTGAGAATCGGTAGGAAGGAAGAATACGAGTCATCTACGTTATACAGTCCTAACCGTTGCTTTCAGTTTAATGAATGACCATGGCTTTGCCCTATGAAATCCTAGGAATTGTAGTTTGGGAAAGATGGGGGATTCTCTGGCAGAACACTCTAGGTCAGGCGTCCCCAACCTTTTTCACCCCACGGACTGGTTCTTTTGGAGAACTGAGAATCGGTAGGGAGGAAGAATACGAGTCATCTACGTTAGTCCTAACCATTGCTTTCAGTTTAATGAATGACCACGGCTTTGCCCTATGAAATCCTGGGAATTGTAGTTTGGGAAAAGATGGGGGATTCTCTGGCAGAGCACTCTAGGCCAGGCGCCACCAACCTTTTTCACCCCACGGACTGGCTGGACAAGGCTATATATATATATACTGCCCGGTTATAGCAAACTTCTACATGGAACATTTCGAAAAACAGGCCCTGGCTTCAGCATCCTTCGCACCCACAGTCTGGTTCTGATATGTGGATGACACCTTCGCA